CTGAAGCATCCTGTTTCCACCCCCCAGTCCTCTCACCTAGCCAGTAGCTGTAATGCCAGGTGGAGAGAACAGTTGTTGTTTACACAGTCCTTGGCCTGAGGGTTTGGGGTATGTTGATATTTGTCGGTTACTATGACTTCTTTTTTTTCCCCCTCAATTGCATCAAACCCTTAAACATGGTGGTAAGTGAGCGCTATGCATGCTTTTGGAGTTTGTTTAATCTCCGCTTCAGTCTATACGATGCACAGTTCATGATGTTAACACTTTCCTTCAAGTTTACTTCATTCACTTTCACAACTAATTTGGATTTCAGTTTGCTGTTTAATCCTCATTTCCTTTGATTTTCGTACCTTTCTCTGTAGTTCTGTTCTTTCCTCTCCCCTGACTTCCCTATTAGGGTCAAGTCATTTTTCTGTCTGCTCTATAAAGGAGTGGTGCTGCAGACAGCAATTCAGGCCAGGAAAGTGGGGACACGAGGTGCTGTTCTTTGTTCTTTGTCAGTGTGAAAGTGGACCTAGGGAGAGAGATGGAGGGGGCTCCTGGAACTTTGCCCCCAGTGTAACTCTTAGCTGCTCCCACTTGCAGGCATGGCAGCTACACCAGAGGCACTGTTGGTACAGCACCTCCAGGTGGCCCTTTGCATGTCACTAGCTTGTCAGGCTGGAGAGTGCCGTTACTAACCAGACAGCAGAGAATGCCCCACTCGGAAAAGAAAACGCCTGTGGTGCAAGGTGTTTGGGTTGGTGCCGACAGGTTCTGCTTTACGAGATCAGCCTGGCTGTGGCAAGGCTCCCTCTCCTGCTTGTTACATTACAGTTGGGACTAGATTGGGTGGTGTCTCGATCGGGCTGTCTTGCCTTAGAATTCTGTGTACTTTCAGGTGCACAGTCAGAGCACTACAACCGTCCTGAGTTTGCTCCTGTCTCTTTTTCTTTGAAGCCCCCAAGTGCTTAGTCCTAGCATGTAGCTGAGCTGGCCTGGCCGGGATGCTGAGCATAGGATGTTGTGAGGGAGGACGAGACTGGGCGTGTGTGTCTCAGTACTGATGTGTCTGTACCCCTCCACTGCATACACAGCACACAGACGTCTCAGGTGTCCTCGAGTCCTAGTTTGTTCTCTGCACCTGTGTGAGAGTGTACTGTTGTTAGCAATGGACTCCTGTGGACACTGGTGTGTCGCTGGCCTGTTGTTTGGCTGATGAGTCATCGGTTTGTGGTTGGTTCTTTTTTTTGAACGCCTTTGCTCCAGTCACTGTATGTGCTGGCGGTGGCTTTGCCTCTCGTTGCCTGGAAGGAACAGGTGGAGCAATGTCTCCCTCTGACAGACATTCCTCCTGACATGTGCTCCCGCAGATGCCTCCACAAGACTGCTCATACCTGCTTCATGTGCACCAAGCCCCTTGTGGAATCCTGCTGCAAGTTTTTCTGGAAGCCTTCCATGAAATCAAACTGTTCTGAATCAGTCAGTCTGCCCAACTTTGGTGTAACAAAAACAAACTAAGAGCACTTACTTGTGCCCTGTCCTTTTTGGGCATGGGCTTTTTTTTTTTTTTTTTAAACATTCTCTGTGTATATATCTGCTTAAAGGGGACCGAGTTGCCCTTAGTTGGAACACAAAAGAAAAACTTATAAATCAGAATCATAAAGTATTAATTTAAGAAGGCTTCTAAACTCAGATAATGTAAGCTTTTTGATTTTAAAAAAAAGATATCTCATGGCTCACCTGGGTTTGGGTTCTAGTTTTGGCCAGGGCACAAAAATGAGCCTGTTTTTCTCTCTAAAGTCTCTCCTAGAGGGACTTCACTGTTATTCAGCTGTCCTTGGTGTGTCACAGAACATCCTCTAGCGTGCACACACTTGTCGCTGACATAGTCCAGCATGGCTGACCCAGTGTTGGGTTGAACCATTGTGGCTGCCTCTCCTCAGTCTTACTCTCCAGACCAAAGACTCCTAAACAATACAAAACAGCAAGAAAAAGAGTGCCCTTCGGGGAAGTGAGGATGTGGCCAAATGCACCAAGTGAACACGTCCGTTCACATTGCAGGATTGAGCCAGAGCTGCGTGCATTCATACTAGAAAACAAACAGCAGGATTTTACAACTGAAATGTTGGTTTGTCTTCTCATCTATTTACGAGTGAACCACTGGAACTTGGGGACAGGATGAGTAGAATGATATTGCAGCCTATCTGTCCGCTACAGTTGCAGTTTTTCATGACAAGCATTTAAAGTGTTAACTAAAACCATTGAAACGACATACCCGCCATTTAAACGTGAATCTAGAAATAATAACTCCATGAGTGTTTGCACCTCCAGATGGAATGGCCTTTAGTAAGTGCTGTGATTGGCCATGTTTGCCACTTGCAGCTTGCTGATCTTTTATTCCTTACACAGAATTTAACAGTTTTTTCCTTTCTTCTCTTATTTCTCATGGATTATTAAAACACTGAACACCCTTGTAGACGATGAACCAGCTGGGCCAATGTAAGTACTTTCTTGAATACTGATTTGACAGTTTCTGATTGAATTATGTTGTATTTGCAGTTTAATCAAATGTAGTTGCTAAGACTGTAGGGGAAGACAGTGAGGGGAAATGAAGGTTGCAGTGAAGACACGGATCTGACTGAAGACCGTTTGATTCCCAGGACAGGCTGCACAGTCTTGTTTTAGTAGCCACACAAAGTGGAACACCATGCCAAAAGATGCTTACAGGTTTGCACGTTCCATATGCTTAAGCTGATAACAAGGGGGAATAACTGGTGTCTCCATGGCTTCACGTTTGCTCAGCTGGACTGTAGCATGGATAAACCGTCCAGCTCCACCAGTGATTGCTGCCATCCAGGAGACAGGGTACTACAAGCATGGAGCCAAAGATTGGCAGAGTCTCCTGGAGTTGGTCACTAAGGAGTGAGAGGCAGGCAGGCAGCATCCAAAACAGTTAAGTACCAGAGGGCACAGCATGGCCAGCTCACGATTATTAGTTGGTAAGGGATAGTGGTGTTCAGTGGAGAAAAATTTACTTCCTCTGACCTTCATATTAATTGTATTCTAGTTCAGAAATCAAAGGGAAAGTTACTTGTCTGCCTTGGGAGTCAAAAGGAGGAGACATTGAAGGTGTGTGCAGGCTAAGTAAACCTAGGGTAAAGTGCCATAATGAAAACAGCCCCAAGTCCAAAATCTTCTGAACACCAACATGATGCTTGGAGGAGACGCTCAAGGGAAACATCGGAGCGTTTCGCATTTTTGGATTAGGGATGGTAAACTGGTGGTAGGTATAATCCCAAAACTTCAAAATGCGAAACACTTCTGATCCCAAGCATTTCAGGTAGACGATATTCCCCAGGTCTTCAGTCAGATCCTGCAGTACAGCCTGCAGGTACTTTCCATGGGGTTTTTGTATGCACTGATACTGTGGGTGAAATTCCTCACTGTCCCAGGGATGGCTGTAAGTGAAAGAGTCCCTGTGTTTCCATGTGTTCTGCTTTCAAAAGTTGTTACTGAGTTTAACTCACCTGATACAATTTTGCCTCCAAAGGAAAACCAACTCTACCAACAATCACAAAGATAAAAACTTGCGCCAGAGAAACACAAATTAAATACTGCTTATAATGTAAGTATGGCCTTCCTTAGCAATTGAAACAGTTCTATCTAGTGTATGTGCCTCTGTTGACTTTGTCACAGATTCTTCAGTAACTGGTCTAAGTTATGCTGTAAGATCTTTTAGTTCATTTCAGAGCAGCTGAGACTGACAGAGCAAGTTCTGTCTGCCCAGTTTAGCCACTGGAAAGGAACATTTTTCAGCTGCTTTTTTTTCACGTGTTTACATAAATGCCATTTCAGAATACATAAGATGTTTTAAAATACTTTGCACTACTCTACTCTTATCTTTAAAAAGAGCTAGAAATTGTCATCTTCTCAGGTGGATTATTTCCAGAGGCGTGTTAGTCTTACTTTGCTTCTGGGGGCAAGACAGGAATGGTGCCCGGTGGCAGCGGAGCCAGAAGGCCATCACGGGCACATGGAGACAGCCGTTTCACACCACATCCCTGTGCATGCCGTCTGAACCAAAGCTTTGTTTTATCTTGGAGCAGTCCTGAGTGACAATGCATGTTCCCTTTAATTTCCAAATACCTTTTTCTTTTCAGATCTTTAGGTTCCTGAAACTGGTGGCAACGTGACCTGCTAAATTTTCCGCTTGGACCTCTTTGGTCTCTCCCCTTTCAAGTGAGCAACACCACAGTGACTGTCTAAAGCATGCCTTATTTAGCCTCTCCTGTAAGGGTGACCTAGCCAGGTACATTTTAAACAATGCTTCAGTGTAGAAGGTGTAAACTATTTTGGGCTTGATGTGCTGTGAATGTTGCTTTTTTTTCCTTTGTTAAAATATTTAACTAGAAGTGAAAAGGTCCTCTGAGGATCAGATCATGCATGCGCCATTTTTTTACTTAATGCAGCTGTTAAATTGGCAAAGCTCTAAAATGCACTGCTGCCATCTAGTGATACATTTTTGTAAAGTACAGCAAAACCTACAGATATATACAGTATATAAATATATATATATATTTATATTTTTGGGGGTGGGAGAAATCCAAAATAAAGTAAATGCTTGTTTCATTTTTAAGCTGCTGATATTCATTCCTTATTGTATGTTGTCAGATGAGGAAACTGTGCAGTACTGGTACATAAAGATGAGTAATATAAACAAATCTATAATTTTAAGGGCTTAACCTATGACTTTAATAAAAAGTTGGAACAGTCCACTGAATGGGTATAATGAATTGCAGTATATACGTATGATTGCTTCTTAAGTGATTATTTTTTCTTTTGTTAAATCATGTAAATTCTTAAATCCTTTTGCACTGATGTGTTGAACCTTATTCTTGTACATTCAATCAAGGCAAAATTTTATAATTTTCCTTTTGTTTCCAATGACCTTGAAATGTTATAGCATGGTGATATTCTATGCAACTATAGTTATACTTTTGGTTTGACACTGTATTTTTTTCACATTGATTTACTGGTTGATGGTAGATTTTATAACTTAACAGGGTTCTCATGCGGTGCATAACTGTAGATGCATGTACTTGTGTTTTGTGTAATTACTGAAGTGCAGTGATGTATAAAAAAGTGGATTCACTTGTTTTTAAAAATAAAACATTGATAAAAGGTGTTTGGAATAATACTCTTTATTCTAACATCATCTTTAGTTGTAGGAGGAAGCTAAGGAGCTTTGACATTCCTTGGTTATATATGTACATGGAGCATTAATTTGTCACCCCACCAGCTTTTTAAGTTCCTTCTCTACCTCTTCCACAAATGCTGGGAAGTTCTGATCCATGAGACACAAGCGTAGAAAGGGGCCCAACTCCTCCACGCGCCATGCAGACTGTTCAAAGACAAGGGGCAGCTCCTCTGATGCCAGGAGAGACTGCAGGATATAGAAAAACCATTGAGTAGTAATTGCAGGTGAAAGCAGTACCCTGAGCACCAGAACACAGGAAAACGCTGCTTTAAGGAAAATTCGGGGAAACACACACCAGAGGTTTAGAATGTGAATTAGTTTTGCAGGTTTCCTTTACATAATAAGTTTTACTGTTATACTTATAATTTTGTATATACATTTTCTGAATACACATAGTGAGATAAACTTTTATTTATATTTCAAATGTATTGATGAAGTAACCTGAGCACTTGAGATTCTACTATAATGAAGCATACTATGCTGATACCCTCTGTGGAGGAAAAAGAACCCTATCAGTGATAGGGCTTCACGACTTCAGTTCCTCTTCCCCACAGCATGGCTGGCCGGATGCGCATGGATGTCCACTACGGAAGCCAGGCTCTAAGTAAGAGAGAGGCCGCAAACTGACCACCCACAGGACAGTTAGCTCATACATGTCTTTTTCTGACCATCTATGAGGTTTCCCAAATAGTCATGTAACCACCACCACCATCAAAGTATAGAACAAAATATCTGCTCCCCCAATATTCCTGCTCCCTCAAAATTCCCTCATGCCACCCGTTGTTGTCAAGTCCTTAAATCCTGGCAGCCACTGTTGTCTTTGTCCCTTGTTTTGCCTTTTCCAGAATGTCATATAAATGAAATTATCACACCCAACACTGTTGCCCCTGGCTGCTTTCACTTAGCCTAATGAAGGTACTGGAGGTTCATCCATGTTGGGTGTATAAGCAGTTCATTTCTGTTCACTGTTGAGTAAGTATCCCAGTGTTTGGATGTACCAAAGTTTGTCCATTCTCCAGCTGAAGGACATTTGGGTTGTTTTGCTTTTGTGATTATGAATAAAGCTGCTATTAAACATTCACGCACACATTTCTTTGTGAACACAGGTTTCTGTTTCACTTGGGTAACAGCCAGGAGTGGGTCATATGGTGAATGTGTAGTGAATCTTGTAAGACAGGCTGCCCGACTGTCTTACCCATCAGCAATGGGTGTGCGAGTCCCAGCTGCTCGACCATCCAGCCTTTCCATTGCCGGTTTAGGGTTTTGTCTTTAATTTTAGCCACTCTAAGAGGTGTGCAGGGATAGCTCATTGTGGTTTTAACTTGCATTTGCCTAATGACTAATAACATTGAGTGTCTTTTCTCATACTTATTTGCCATATGTATTTTTTCTTTGGTAACCTGCAGTGTTTTAAGACCAGTTGAATAAGTTGCCAACATTTAATATTAGGAAAGTTCAAATAAAAATCTGACTGTGCTTGGCACCGTGGAAGATCTGGCAGCATGGAATCCACAGCCCAAGCAGTGACGACGGCCCTGCTGTGTGGTCTGCTGACTTTGGTATGTTGATTCAGGCATCTGACTCCTCCCATGAACTATAATATGAGGTAGGTGGTTTTATTCCCTTCCATGGGTAGCATGGTTGAGTGTGTAAGTGTACAACAACTTAACATTTCTCCAGGAACTATCTGGAATAGAAATCTACTTTTCTAAGTTCAGGTTGGCTTTTCAGAGTCTGCCTAAAAGTATAAAGAAGAAAGTGAAAGTGGCATAGAGCTGGCTCCAGCGAGAGCCACTGTTGGCATGTCCGTGCATGTCCTTCCAAGTGTGCTTATTACAAATGGGATCCTACTGTTATGTTGCCTCCTTTTTAAGAAAGCATCATTTATTGTGAATCTCTTTCCATGTCAACAGATGAAGGGTCTGCCTCACTTTTAATAATCCCTTGTATTCAGATGTTCCCTCTGAGGGGACATCATAAATCTAGCTTGGATACAGAGCTTCCTGGTGATTATACAGGACAGACTAATAATGCCAATGCAACTTTTTCAAAAATGTTTTCTTGGAGTTTTCTATTCAAATTGCATGAAAAAGCAAAGAGATGGAATATTTGCTGAGATATATGTAAAAACATATCAACTCATGTTACATAGAAAGAGAACGTCCTTCCACATCATCTTCGGACAACAGACTACATGTTAATGTGGGAGGAAAAAATCAAGATTGCATTGTCTGCCCGAATAGGAAAACACCAGGTGGAAGACGTCCAACAAATTCCTATTGCACAACATGTATCAATGAACCTACAATGCATGTTGGTGACTGTTTCTCAAGTTACCACTTGTTAGGAAAATAGATAGAATTTTGGGATCTTTTTGGTCATAAGTTCCTCAATGTCCAAAATTCATTATAAGCCAAATATCATTACAATAAAATAATTATTTTCAACACTATACTATTTAATACAAAGTGATTTGTTTTTCACTATTTTGCAGAAAAGTGCTGTAGGTGAGTTGCTGGTAGGTGATGCACGAGGTATCTCCAAGTGCAAAGGGTTAATGGCATTTTCATCCTGTCTGTGGTTAAGCCACACTTTACCCAGTAGCCTATTAACCCTTGATGTTGTTTCCAATTTTTTCTTATTATAAATGACATTGTGACAAACATGGATATTTGTGTAAAGTTGAAATGGAATTATAATACAAATATTAAATTTAATACACATTGTTAAATTACCTTCCAGAAAGTTTTGCCAGCTCACATGCATAGAATGACTTTTCCAAAGGGTTAGCGCACACTGGCACCACACCGAGCTCAGAGCCGTGTGCTTTTCCCCATTTGTATCTGGTTCCTCCACCCTCTGTAAACAGATTGGCGAAGGCACATGACACCTCTCAGGGCAGCCAGTCTTTCCTAGACATCACACCCTGCTAGCTGCTTGCATTTTGCAGCCCCGCTGTCCTCAGCTACTCTGATTCCATTGGCCGCCCTTTCCCCCATGCAAATAAGGGCATTTTGAAGTCTGCCCTGCTGCTGGACTGATAGACCTTCATTTTTCTTTCATAGTTGCTAGGTTATTAAAAGAAAAATAAGCATGAAGTCCTTGTTAGTCTTCTTCCCTCTTTAATTCTTTATTCTTTAAAATTGTCCATTTATTTTGAGTTGGTGGCAAGCTGAATGGAGAAAAAGCCCATATTTTTTATATTACTGTTAAATAGATGAGTTAAAAAGAAAACTCATCCGTGAATACTGATGAACTCCACGTGAAACTGTGTGAGAAGCATAAGGCACTGGCATGAACACCTGCTGCCATGTGCACTAGGAACGTGGTGAGGGGGACGGTCCTAGCAGTGCTCCCCACAGAATGGACACAGAGCCACCGGGATTGTTAATGAAGAGGTTTTGCAACAGGTGAAGGGTGGCCCGAGGGCAAGTCAGTACTGAGGTGACAGTTGAGTCCTCCTGGGTCTCGTTCACTGAGAACTGAACATCTGCCCCTACAGAAACCATCCTAGGTCCGACTCCAGATTCGTTTCAGTATTTGTCTTAAATAGTTCCCAAATTTCATTTCCAAAATGAAACTGAATTCCTACATTCTTCTTTTTTTTTCCTTTTGAGTCAGTGTCTCACTCTGTTGCTCAGGCTGGAGTGGCACGATCATGGCTCACTGCAGCCTCAACCTCCTGGACTCAGGGGATCCTCCCACCTCAGTCTCCCAAGAGGCTGAGACTACGGGCACATGACACCACACCTAGCTAATTTTTAAATTTTTTGTAGAGATGAGGTCTCACTGTGTTGTGCCAGGCTGGTCTTGAATTCCTGGGCTTAAGCAATCCTCCCCCTTTGGCCTCCCAAAGCACTAGTACTCCAAGCATGAACCATGGCATTCAGCCTCCTCTTCATTTTTGGGAAAGTGGTGATTAAATTCTCTACCTCAGACACTGAACCACTCTTTCCATTTTAATTTCTTCAGGAGGGTGGTCTTGAGTGTGTGCCATCATGTCTGACCTCCTAACAGGGGCAGACGAAAACAGCCTGCTCTGTCATCTGTAGTAACACTTCAGATTTCTATTCTAGAACAAGGAAGTGGATGGAGAAATACAGATTCTCAGTGATGACTATTTTTTGTGACAAGAAAACGATACAGAAACAGGCTCTACCTGAGCTAAGCGTGTCACCGAGGTCCTTTCTCCAGGAGCACCTGTGCTGGCGGTTACACACACTTGCTGTTCTGGGTGCTGGTGGGCCTGGAATAAAACAGGCAATTAAGAGAGCAGCTGAATATAATCGTAAATATGCAGGCCATTAAGGAAGTGGAAAGACACATTCATGTTCAAGGAAGAAAATCCCAGTAAACACCATCATCAGTGTAGGTATGTCCTGGTTTACAGGGAGGGTAGCTGGATGCCTATCAGCACCTGGCAGGCTGTTAGTGCTACCTCCTGTCAGACACCGACTTTCTGTCTTTGGAGGCCCAGCCCAGGACTCAGCACCACGTGTGGGCATGAAGAGGCAGCACCACAGGAGCAGGTGCCACGGCTGCGGCTGTGGCGGCCTGCGTGCGGTGGAGGGCCCTCGCTCCTGGTGACCATGATTTGTCACCATCTAAAAGTTACTACTCAAGTAACATGTGCATTGCAAAGTGCAAAACAGGGAAAAACCCCTGTAATTACAAGGTAACTGAAGATTTTTACTAAAACTAGGTTTGATTTTTTTAAAAAATATCATCCTAGACATTTTGGAGGAATGAATTTTTCTAGCATCTTCAGCCTCATATGCCTACAAGATGCCAGGCACTCAGGGATAGGCACTACGAGGAGCCAGATGGAGGCCCTGCCCTCCGGAAGCCACGCCTGGTGGGAACCTGGCAAAAGCCAAGATATCCTGCAGCTGGGCAGGGGAGTCCTTGGACTCACAGAGGAGGGTTAAACAGAGGCTCCAGGGTCCATGCTGTCTCGGGGGAATCTGTGATAATGAGGGGATGTCCAGGCAGATGGGAGGTGTGAAGGGCTGGGCTTGGGTGTCCAGGCTGCTGCTGCTGCACTCATCAGACAAGCAGTGGTATCCACGCTCTGTGAGAGCAGAGGGTGTGATGCAGGGAGAAGCAGGGCCTGCGGAGGGCAACCTGGCTCTCAGCGATGTGTTTGGCTGCCATTAGCTGGAGGATGCCATGTCCTGTTGTCCTAGAGACGCTGATTATTGCTAGTCAGGAGAGAGCAGAAAATTAGATCTGGAAGCATCAGAAAAGGGGTGAGGTAGGACAGTGAGGAAAGAAAGAATAAGGACAGAACTAGTCAAGAATACTAAGATCAAAGGTGCTGAGAGGCCAAGATTCTATGCCCCGAGCCCTTAGACAAGGTTCATGTCGCTGCTCAGCTTCTTCAGTTTCCTCATCTGTAAAATGAATTGGGCATTTGTGCCCAGTGTTTCTTCCTTCTTCCATCTGTGATGTTCAATGCTTTCCTGGGATACACAGCAATCCAGCTCACACGGTGTCCTTCAGACACCTGGCAGGTGCGCACCAAAACCGTCAAACACCGCAGCCAGGTGGGCCTGAAGTGCCCAAGGCTGGCAGGCTCCAGTTTGAGACAGGCCACTGCCATAGCTGCGAGCAGGAAGTGCTGTGCACACCATGGCTGGATGCTGGGCTTTTTGTGCTAACAAACGAAAGAGTTATCGGAGCCACTGCCGACCTTGTTCCGTTCCTCTCTTGGGGGGCCAGTTGCCTTGGAAGCCCTCAGGTTGAGAAACACCTGGTTAGGCCACGGTTAATAAAATTACAAGGCTGAGGAAAAGTAAAAGCTGAAATACAAGCCAAGAAATGACTCAAGAACTTGAAATAGAAAGGTGTAGAATTATCTCTATTTGTAAATAAGGGAGCAACTATTTTAGACTAAAAAACATATAGGTATTAGAGAAATGACACATCTGAACACAGGAGAGCAGCTCGAAGACCAGAACTTGGCCTTGGCTCATAACTCTCAAGATGAGTTCTGGGAAGGACAGCTTGATACCAAATGTGTGCAGCAGCAGCTAAGGGCAAACCTGAGCATGCTCTGCCTTCAGGAAGACCAGAGTGTTCAGGCAGTGTCTCACACTGCCTGCACCCTGGCAGTTAATTTTGGCTTTGTCTTGTCTTTTCTGCAGCTTCAGATGCTGCATCTCATCATGCTCTCTCTTGGCTGTGGGATTCCTGATCATTGCTAAGTATTGACCAGAATGGTGATTTGTTCATTTGCAAAGGGAGGCATATCTAAAAGGGTAACAGTACTGACAGTAATAGTAATGTGGATTGTTATTTCTTGTATTTGCCAGGCATTGTACTAGGTGCTTTTGTGGTTGTTTGAGGTGAGGTCTCACTATGTTGTCCAGACTGGAGTGCCATGGTGTGATCATGGCTCACCATAGCCTCAAACTCCTGGGCTCAAGCAATCCTCCCACCTCAGCCTCTCCAAGAGCTGGACTACAGGAGTGCACCACCATACTAGGCTAATTTTTTAATTGTAGAGATGGGTGTCTTACTATGTATCCTAGGTTGGTCTCAAACTCCTGGGCTCAAGTGATCCTCCTGCCTAGGCCTCCCAAAGTGCTGAGGTTACAGGCATGAGCCACCACACACAACCATACTAGGTGCTTTCTATAACAGCATTTCAGTCTCACCATTTTACAGATGAGGTTCATTGGCCTGCACAATGACCATGTAGCTACTAAGGCAGGGCCAGGATTTTAACCCAGATCCATTTTGACCCCAAAGCCTGTGGTCTCTGCAAGACACGCTGTCTGCTCATCTCAAAACACCAAGTTACAGATCACATGAGTCTCTGAATGCAGAACCAAGAAAAGACATGGTCTCCTAACTGCTTCTGGGGTGCGTCCACCTGGACACCTGGGACCAGGCTTTCATTCAGGGCTGGAGCCTCCCCGTCCTGAGGCCCATAGCTCCCAGCCCAACTGTGCTCCAGGCTGCAATTTCCATCACTGGCAGTTTTAAATACCAGGATCGTTGTGTGGCCTGATACGGCTCCATTCTGATGTGTCTTCATTTCCTCTGTAAGGAATTCCAGGCCTGGTTCCCAAATTCTAGAACCCTCTTGGGCTCTTGTACTCCATGCACTGAGTGTACTATATTGTTGTCCAAATCTTATGGGCAGTGAAACCTATGGAAAAACATCTATTTAAAGGGCAAAGAATCATAAGCCACAGAGTGCCCTGTCACAAACCACTGCATTTGTAGGGCGGGGATGGTACATATGGGTGGGGATGTGGCATACTGGTCAAAACCAGACCTTGACTTGAGAGACAAGAGACTTCAGCATTAAAGCAGCTTCACAAAAATCAAATGAAGGGAAAGATCTCAAAGACCTAAGTGTTTGGCAAATTAAACATATTCAAGAAGAAATCATACAGCACCTGCTTAGAGAAAAAAGTTCTTTTTTGTTTTGAGCCAGAGTCTCTGTCACCCAGGCTAGAGTGTGATGGCACGATCATGACTCACTGCAGCCTAGACCTCCTGGGTGCAGGAGATCCTTCTACTTCAGCCTCCTGAGTAGTTGGGACTACAGGTGTGCAACACCATGCCCAGCTCTTTTTTTTTTTGCTTCACTGTAGAGACAGAGTCTAGCTGTGTCCCAGGCTGGTCTTGAACTCCTGGGCTCAAACAGTCCTCTTACCTCACCCTTCCAAAGTGCTGGGATTGCAGGCATGAACCATCACATCAGACTGGTAAAAGATTCTATGATAAATAATGGAAATTTATGTTCACCTTACGTAAATTACGAATGACAAGAAACTTGGTGAGAAGACAGCAAAGATGAATTGTCTTGGTTAAGGAAAAAAAGGATAAAGTAATGGGAAAGCCAAATTTGGAAAATTACTTCTCCAAGTAGAAAATAAAAACTTAAAACCGGAATACTGTCCAAAGAACAGAGGGAAGTGCTTATTCTCGCAATATTTGAGATTGTCCAAATAAATGCTAGCACGTGTATTTTTGGGAGAATTTCTGTAGCCATAAGGCTTAGATTTTTTATCTCAAGACCCCTTATTGAGGCCCTCAAAGAGCTTTGGTTTGAGTTACATCTATCTGGTATTTATATTAGAAATTAACACAATCTTAAATAATATTAATTTGGATTTAAGATAAACCCATATATTCATATTAAAAACATTTTGATGAAAAATAGCTATCTTCCAAGACAAATTATAAAGATTTTTGTAAATATGTTTATTGTCTGGCTTAGTGGAGGTGAGCCCGACCCCATCTGACTCTGTGCTCAGTGTGCTGTAGTCTGTAGCTCTGGTTGAAGTTCATGAAGAAAATCTTGCCTTACTTAAATATGTAGATGGAGAGGGAGGAGTATTTTTAGCTCATTCAGGATCACTGATGAGAACTCACATCATTCCAAATTCTGTTCCTGGTTGCTACTGACGTGAATTTATGTCTTTGCAAATTCTGTTTCCTCATCAGGGAAGACGTTTTTTTCAGGTTTATAATCCAAGTAAAAATACAAAGTACAGAATGCTTGTCAGAGTGGTGTCTAAGGCAAATGTCCAACTTTTCAGCTGTATTATAAAAAAGGTGACAATTTAGAAAAGACTATTTCATTTGTGCCTAACAAGAGAAGTTTGAGGCAACCAGTTTCAAAGATCTTTTTATTTTCACCCACAGTCAGTATTAGAAAAGTGCCGGTCACAAATGTTTTAAAATAGTCTTTTCACATAATTGTGGATACTCCTTGATGTAATACTAAAACCCAACAAGTGATAGTTGCTTAAAGGTTAGTTACAACATGGACTCTGAAACCAGAGCAATGAACTTGTTAACACTGTGACACTGAAGTCCGTCCTGCACTTTGAATAGTTTAATCTGTCTTGCACTTTGAATAGCTTTCATCCACATATGACTTTGTAATACCATGCTGTTGGTCATTGGGAAAATACTGGTTTGCTGAATACACATATATTTCAAATATTGACACATATCATCTAATGACTTAATTTTTAAAAGTCACATGCATTAATAGCACCTTCAGAAAAGTCTTTTGGATTAAGAAGGTATGAAGCTCATATGGCAGATACAGGTTTTCCAAGATTCTGACTTTCATTTGAAAGCTTAAATTGTATAATTGTTAATAAATACTACCAGTTGTTTTCCTGAAGTGATAGGCTCACTCCATGTATTTTTGAGAAAACGTCTGCCAAATGCAGAAACCTGAATGTTTCTAGTCTATCTGTTCTTGCAAGTAGTAATGGTCTTTTATGAAAAAAGAGGTTAGTTCAGCTCAAAACACACGTCACCAGGACGTTCCCCTGAGGCAGCCATCTTACTGCAGAATGTAGGGTGGTTGATGTTTTCACTGTGGAGAACATGGTGACTACCAGACCAGTTTGCCACTGCCTGACCTGTACTGAGATGACAGCAGCTTTCCTCGCATTGCTTTTGTCACATCAATACATATGTAGACACAGTGAAAAAGGCAAGTAATATCTTCAGATTTCAAAAAGAATTTTGACCTTATGGGTCCCCTGAAAGAGACATGGATAGCTACGGTGAGTACAACCTCAGTTTTAAAGTCACTCAACATCAGTTGTCTGATAAGCCTGATGGACTCGACAGCCTCTGTTGTCATTGAGCCCTCAGTGCACTGAGTTGCCAGGTGGCTCAACTGGACACCACAGTCGCCCTTGGCTGCCACTTACCCTGAGTGGGCCATGTGTCAGCTGCAGCTCCTGGCCGATGCCGTCAGGCGCCTGAACAGGCACGTACTGGGCCAGCTTCTGCACACAGCAGCAGCAGCGCTGCAGTGCCTGCTCCTTGCACTCGCCACTGAACTGGACTCGAAATAGGCGACTCCTGTCCTGTTTGACAAATCACAAGTTATCCTGAGAGACACGCTGGGTCACTCACCTTTATTTGCCGCAGGGTCTTCTTGCGGGTGGCGCCTGTGCTTGGAGGGGAATAGGTGTGGTTGGGATGCCATCACCTGCGCTTGCCGTCGTAGCACGAACAGCCCAGAGTTCATTTCTCTACCTGGTTTAGAGTAGTCAACTTACATGAAGCCACCCACACAGGAGTGTATGTATCGGGCTCTTCTGTGAAGAATGCAGATGTTAAGCCTAGCATCGTGACCATCCTGCTCACTGATTACATATACAGACCACACTACTAACTGGCAAACGTTTCTAGCCATGGTTAACAATCCTATATGTTCCTGTAAGCGACAAGTACCTGACTTTCCTGTTCACGTTATACACTATTTAAAGAAAGCCAAAAAGCACAGCCTTATATTTAAGTTGTAGAAGTCTCTTGGCATGGCTAGGAAAATAATTAGGTGTCATGCTTAGAAGGGTGGGCACTCCTACCCCTTTTTGCTGCCACTGTTTGGTTCTCTTAATTCATCTAATGTTTTCCCAAGTGTAAAAGCAATCCATTATCCATTACCCCTCCTCCACTGAAAAAATATGAAAAGAAAATATTCTAATATAGATATATGAACACACACATATTTAAATATCTTTTAGTACGTCATAACATAGAAAGGATATACACAAGGGGGTACTCCCTCAAAACAATTGATAACACATTGTGTATTCTTAAACTTCAGTCACCTTGAAAGTACTCTCTGATGCAAAATATCTATTGAGTTGCTTTTTTTACTGCTCAAAACAGTGTTTGAACTCGCCGATTTTGATGCCTTTTAGTGCTTCTGCCATTTTTTGTTCCACTTTTTCCACACTGGGAAAACATTTCCCTTTGAGGACTTTTTTAAATACAGGGAAGCAAAAAAGGGACACAGAGGTCATGGCGCTTTGGTCAAAAACCGCTGAACACTTGTGGTGTGGGCAGGTACACTGTCATGGTGGAATAACCAGTCACCTGTTTGCCACAACTTGAGATGTTTCTTCGGTAAATCGTGATGCAATGGTCTCAAAACTTCCAGATAAAAACTTTGGTTGACCCTTTGAGCCAATGGAATAAATTCCAAGTGTACTACAAGAGACCCGCCCTCTAAAAGATAATTCTGGGTGTTTTGGGGTCCCTCCTTGCATTATATATTTAAAACTACATTGCTGGTCTATAGCCTAATTTTTTATTTAACTACATAAAAATAGAAGTATACCTCATTACTTTGAATGGCTGAAGCGTGGTCCTTTATTTAACTGGCTTCCCACTGACAGACATCTAGGTTATTTCCAGAGTTTTTTTCCTATCATTAACCACAGAGCTTTGATCAGCACTGTTATACGTGCATCTTTGTGTGTACATGCATGAAAGCAGACTTGCTGGGTCGAAGGATGTGTGTATTTCCTATTTTGGTCGTGACGCCAAACTGCCCTGTGGCAAGGCAGGGTTGATCTGCTCCCACCGAGTCTATGCTCCCCTTTCCAGCTGCACCCTCCGACACTGGAGGTTTTTGTGTTTTGTTTTTAAAATTTTTGTCAAACCTGCTAGGCTACCACAGTTTTTTTAATTTTTAGTCAGGGTCTCACTCTGTCGCCCAGGCTGGAGGACAGTGGCACAGTCATTGCTGACCACAGCCTCAACCTCCTGGGCTCAGGTGATTCCCCTACCGTAGCCTCCCAAGGAGCTGGGACGACAAGTGTATACCACCATGTCCAGCTAATTTTTTGATTTTTTTTTTTTCTGTAGAGGCAAGGTTTTACTATGTTGCCTAGGTTGGTCTTGAACTTCTGAGCTCAAGCAGTCTTCCCTCAGCCTTCCGAAGTGCTGAGATTACAGGCAAGAGCCACCACACCTGGCCATATCAGAGTTTTAAGCTTTTCAGTTCTTTGATTATAAGTGAGGTTGAATAGTTTTTCTTATGCTTATTGTTCATTTGTGTGTGTGTGTGTGTGTGTGTGTGTGTGTGTGTGTGTGTGTGTGTGTGTGTGTCTCCTATTCATGCCCTCAGCCATTTTTCTCTTGGATAATCCCTAAACTATCAAGAGTCACTGAAAGCTAACGTTCCCTGAGGAAGGGAAAAGAACTAAGGCAAGAATTGTATATCTGGTTTGTGATAATACTAGGAATCTTCTGTGAAACTGAGCTGACTTGTTTATGACTAATTAGCTATTTCCAACTCACCCTGCTTTAGACTCTAGGAAGACATCTATATGAGGTACCTTTGTATTAGTTGTCTCTATCAGGATTCTGTAATTAACTTACTAAGCTTTTGACAGTCTCATTAGCAAATGTGTCTTGTAACTAGCTGAAAAGCCATATACACAGGCAGATGCTAAGTGTGTAAGTCCTGAGACTAGTGTAAAAACCTGAGACCAATTATGTAAGTCTGGAGGTATCTGTATGTAGTGTGCATAAGAATCAGCTTGGATAGTTAGGGTTTTTTTGGAGTGTAACTCCAAAAAAATAACAGTTATATGTCTGATGGCCTAACTGAAGTTGTCTTCTATGTATGCTTCTGTAAAATTCTCAGATAGATTTGAGCTTATCATCTGAAGCCAGAAATGCCACTTCAATACCTGTGGACCCAAGATAAAACCCAGGTACATCAGGACAGATCTGAACATCAGTTACCTCCATCCTATGTCTGGAGTGCCATGAGGTACTGCAATGGAACACCTTCCACTGGGTCAGCCAAAGGGACTGCTGGGTTGAAAATCTTGCTGCGATTTATTTTTATACTATAATTAAAAGTCAGGTGGAGCTTTTTGCTGTGAGATGTTTTCAAGTACACCAACAGTCATGAGCTGCCCCAAATACACAGGCTGTAGCTTCTAGCACCTCAGGAGACTGGCTCATAATCAACGTTTTACATGGTGGCTTCAGAACACTTCATTTCAAGATCTCCTTTTGCACAGACTCCTCAAGAAAACCCAAGTTGAGGATGGGTGCGTCTCTCCTTCCCCTCACCCATGCATGCTCACAGGAAATCACACTCTGCTCTCCTGTAGGGCCAGGCCTACCACGGGCTGGCTCCCTGCTAAGAACAGCACATCCACACACAGGTGCTGAGGCCACAGGCTCACCCTAGAAGAAAGGCCCAGGCAGCACCGTGCAGGACAGCGAGGACATGTTAGAGGCCTCTCACCCAGTGGGTCTTCACGCTGGCTTTAGACTCAAACCCAGATCACTGAGGAATTCCCCAAAACCACTAGGCCCCAACTGAAGCGATTCTTCCCCCACCAGGGAGCTCCTCTGCTGTAGGAAACATGGGAGAAAGCAAAGGGAAGGGACTGAAGCAGGGAAGGAACTCGGCACTTTCTGTGATTCTTTGCTCTGAAACCAAGAGACAGTACTCAAAGCCTTGGCCCGATAAAGTCAGAAACAGTTCTTCAGGGAGTTACTGGCAGTGAGGAGCAGAGGTGCAGGGCTGCTTTGAGGTGACTCCTTTGAACCCAGGTACCCGGAAGACAGGGAGTTACAGGTCTGCCATTAGCCAGGACAAGGCAAGAAGCACCAAGATACTCTTTGCCAGGTCGGGCAAAAAGAAGAATCTGTTGGCTCAATTGTTAATATATCAAGAAGGAGGAAAACTCATCTACAGGGTACGATATGCACAGGTGGGGTGGTGGGCACACTTAAAGCCCAGACCAGCCGGGCTCGGTGGCTCAGCCTGTAATCCTGCGCCTTTGGGATGCTGAGTGAGTGAAATGCCTGAGCCCGTGGGTTCGAGACCCGCCTGGGCAACTTGGCAAGACCTCATCTCTACAATAAATCAAAATGAGCCGGGCGTGGTAGTGCATGCCTATAGTTCCAGCTATTTGGAAGGCTGAGGCGGAAGGATCGCCGGAGCCCAGCAGGTCAAGGCTGTGGTGGCCAGGAGCGGCCATTGCACTCCAGTCTGGGTGACTGAATGAGACTCCAACTCAAAATAAATAAATAAATAAAATAAAGCACAGACCAATCAATATTTGTACCCCTCTAACACTGAAATTTTAAAAAACCCATATATATATCAAGTCAACAGATCAAAGGAAAAAACAAATCTTAATAGGTGTCAAAAAGCACTCGATAAAATTTAATATATAATCTTGCTATTAATGCACTTGGTAAAAACGTCTAGCAGGAGGACTAATAAACACCCTAATTTGGAGGCGGTGATGAGCACACAAACTGGAGACACCCAAAACAACTCAAATGTGAGATGAACGTATCTGTGATTTCCACTGGTGAGAAGGTCTGAAGCTACTGTGGTCTGTTGCTACATTCATAATGATAGGAAACGATCAATTCCAGAGGCCAGTGAAAATCCCTGGAAGTTCACGGACCCCTGAATCCAGTGGGGACTCTTTGGGTCTGTATGCCCTAGGCTAAGACCCCATTCTCTTGAACACCACATCCAACTCAAAGTCTACGAGTACATCCAAAATTAGTATCTTTCACCTAAACCTCAGTGCTATCTACTCAATAAATGTCATCAGATCGATTTGCATAGTTATTTCTGAAGGAAAATAATTCAGGTGATTAGTCTGCATGTTTCTTTGATGAGGCTCATTCCTTACATTTAATACAGCTAGAGAGAAAGTAAAGAGGAATTTTATTTTTTTTAATATTAAAAAGATGGCAAAGCATCTTCAGTGAAGCGCTTGAAAACAGCCACCTTCATGAAGACCGAAACAGCATAACAAGCAGCAAGGTGTCCAGCTCTCCCGACCTGGGCGTGGGGTGGAGGCCACCATGGCCCCCTCAGATGTGCACCGATGGTCCCACAAACTCCAGCTCCTTAGCAGTGGCCTCTGCTAACAAGGTCCTGCCTGCACAGTCTTGTGTCATGTGCTGCTTGCACAAACCTTTCTTGAACACAAGTGTGTTCTTCCTAGTACCATTTCACCTGCACAGAGCAGCTCTCTCCCAGCGCACACAGAACCTGAGACATGTGTGAGCATGAGCTCACCCAGAGTCGGCTCCTCAGCCGTCTTAGCTTGCCTTTATGGTTGTTCCAAACAGCAGACAGTCCACACGTCTTACGATCTTCAACCAGTCCTTGCTCCCAATGAGTGAAAACCCTTCCTGGAACGAAATAATTAAGCAAAGTTAGACAAAAAGAGCCATGAACAACAGCTACAGTGCAGCCGCTTCCTGCTGGAAACTGTCTATGAATTTCTTCTGTAACACAAGCACAGGAGCGGTGACTAAACAGCCCCAGCGCCAAGGGTGACGTTAGACCAAGTCCCCATGCCCTTGGGCTCTTCCTGAGTGAGCAACATGGAAGAGTCAACCTTTTTTCTTTTTTTAATCTTTTCATGTTGGAAATCAATAAAATACTAGGATAGTCAATGTCCATAGTCCCGTAGAAAATGCATTTCTATGCCCGAAGAATTTGTCAAAATAAGACTTCCTCCCCAAAACAAGGGCTTCATTGTACTAATTTATTAACCTATCCGGCACATCTCTAACTGCACAGTGAGATGTCTCTTTACAAGAGTCTTACTTTCAGATTCCTGTGTGTGGAAATCTGAAGCGATTTGCTTTTGGATACCGAATGTTTTGTTCTTTGTCTCCTGAACAAACAAATGGCAAAGAGGGCAGTAGGGGGCACACAAACCTCAGAGGAGGAACAACCGCTGGGTACGTGGAGTGACAAGATGGACATTCTCTGTGGTTTATTAATAAGGTGAATGGCCAGATGATCTGATGATGGCAGCTCCTAGGCTCAATACCGTTTCTGGTCTCCTTGGGCTGGCAGCCCTGAGTCAGAAGAAGGCTAGCAAACAGTCAAGCTAACCCGGGATGGCCTGACTGACAGTGTGCACAGACTACGCGTGAATGGCCTTTCTACCCTGAAATGCTCACCCACCACAGCCAGGGAAGGCTGCTGGAGTAATCGAGAGATCCCGAATTCTTGGAAAACAAAAGAAGATGTAGTCCCTGATCCATTTGAACCTCACAAAACCTCTCTTCCTAAATTTGAATATGATGAAAGTTGCAACAACCACAGACATTTACATCCTGGGAAAAGTGTGGGTTCTTTGTTTTCATTTTTTAAAAAGCCAATCCTAATATGGTGATTCTAAGTGTTTTATCAATAGCAGGCGTGTTTTGCTTTTTTTTGAGTGGGAGTCTCACTCCGTTGCCCAGGCTGGAGTGCAATGGCATGCTCCCGGCCACCGCAGCCTCAACCTGCTGGGCTCAGGAGATCCTTCCGCTTCAGCTTTCCAAGTAGCTGGAACTATAGGTGTGCGCTACCAAGCCTGGCTAATTTTTTGAATTATTGTAGAGATGTGGTCTTGCCAAGTTGCCCAGGCTGTTCTCGAACCCATGGGCTCATGCAGTCCTCTCACCTCAGCCTCCTAAAGTGCTGGGATTACAGGCTTGAGCCACCGTGCCTGGCCATGATACCTTTTTTTTTTTTTTTAAGAAGTTAGGCAAACCACTTGTGATTTCTTCTTAAAACTCTCAGAATCAACAGATAGAAATATGTTGACTATTTCCAAAACATATAGGTCATTGTAGTTCAGATGGCAGCTTATGGGGAAACTAGCACTCAGACACATTGCTGGTGGGAGTGCAAAATGGCCCTTCACTTATGGGGGACAGTTTGGCAGTATCAAGATTACAAATGAGTTTATCCTTTGCTAGGTGTCCCAGTGCTGGGAATCCATCTTACAGGTCAACCTGCACACACATGGAGTGATGCATGGACCAGGTGACACACCTCTGCTTTTTTTTTTTAACAGTAGAAGACTAGAAAAAACTCAAATATGCCTCAAAGGTGGATTGGTGAAGTAAAGCATGGTACTTTGTGAAATGGAATACTATACAGCTGTAAAAAGTACTAAATGCTATATATATTAGCACTGTCTAGTAGAAATAGAATTTGAGCCACATATGTAACTTAACATTTTCTAGTATCACTTCAAAGAACAACCACCCAAAAAAACTGATGGAATTAAGTATTTTATTTAACCTAATATGTCAACAAACATTTCAACATGTAAAGCAGTGTAAAACATTATTAATGAGAGCTCTGGTGTGTTTTTACACGTACACCGCATCTCATGGTGGGTGCTGTATTTTCAGTGGTTAAAGTGAAATGTATTCCTCCCAGGACAACAGAGGTGAGTTTAGTAGAAAAACGTTGACACTGCTTCTGTGTTTAAGGTTAATAAAATTTAGAATTCTATGGTTTAGTTGCGCCAGCAACATTTCAGGGGCTCCATGGCCACATTCAACCTGCACTGGCCCCTTGGCCAAGGCAGCTCTGTGTGAACTGAACTCTACGGTTACGCAAAAAGTCAGTGACACAAAGGTGTTCCATGATGCGCCACCTCTTCCTTATGAGACAGAGGGAAGATAACAATGAATATTCAGATTTGCTTGCATTTACATGAGGGCTGGAAGGAGGAGTCACAAGAGGCTAAAATCTTCCCTGCAGGGGGCGGGTGAGCGTTGGATGGGGGACAGGAGGGGAGCTGGCGCTGTTACTGCATGCCTTCCATATTGTTCTGCCTTCTGAGCGTGTGAGCCTCTTCTGCACATGCATGAAAGGACTTGGGCCTGCAGGGACACCCACTCCCCTGACTGAGCCCTGGGCACTGAGGGGCTTGGGTAAGGGTGTGGCCTCCGCCTGACAACCCCTCCCTGCTGAACCTTGGTCCCACCTTGGTCAGGCCATCAGGCCCCAGAATTTCCCACCTCACTTCCCTCTGCCTCTTCCTCCTCTGGTCATTGTTCACATCGCACCCAGTTGCACCTGGGTCTCGTTCTACTTTCCTGTAACACTCTTTCTTCCATAGCATTTGTCGGAGTGTGTGTGTGTGTGTGTGTGTGTGTGTGTCTATGTGTGTTTGTGTGTCTCTGTGTGGTAGTGATTTCCTTGATGTATATTATTCACTGGACTGTAAGCCTCCTGAGGGCAGGGGCTGTTTTTTTTGCTCATTCCTGGATATATGGCATCTATGCAATGTCTGACACTAAAAGGTGCTTCAATAAGTGTATTGAGTGAATGAAAGAACAAAACTCCCTGTTAAAATCAATTAAAATATTTCATGCTGGTATCACTTTTTGGGAGCAGTAAGGACCATAAATCTATTCCCTGCCCAGTGGCACAGAGCATCTTACTTTTATTGACTTGCACTAATCTTGTTCAAAATCCAGAAGGTGCCCTCTCGGCCCATGTACCTAATCACTTGCATGCACACACGTCCAGATTTCAACAGCTGGTCTCCCTCTCTGTGAAAATCCACCTGTCTGAATCTCCCTTAAGGCTTATTCTGGTAAATTACTCGACGTATGGCTCCCCTGTGTGGCCTTTCCAGACTTCCTCAGTTAAGTGACAACCCTGTCCCCTGCAATACGCCGTGCTTAGTGCCACCAAAAACGCAGTTAAGGTCGCTGCACTTCCATCATGGCCAGCCACCATGCTAGGGGTTCAAACAAACAAAACCAGAATCTGCCAAAGAGGAGGGGGCCGTGTGTTGGAATTCCCCAAGGGGCTTCTGCTCTGGTACTGGGGACACTCCTGGCCCTGCCAGGTCAAGGGTCAGTGTCAACAGAAGTCGCAACTGATGAGTCTGTTATAACCAGGGCTGAGGCAGAAGCACAGGTGAGGACGGACCGTATGGGGTGGGGAGGAAGAGAGTGGGGAGCTTGAGGAAGCACCAAGTCCACCAACAGATGAAAGAGCAGGAGCCGGTGCCAAGAACAGTGTCCAGGATAGAGCAGTGTGTGAGCTGGGGGGTTCCCGGTAGAGGATGGGCCGTAGAGCCAGTGACCACAGGCATGGGCCAACAGGGATGGGCAGGAATAGGGCCACAGGCATAGGCCAACAGGGCCAGGAGACCACAGGGATGGGCCAACAGGGCTCACCAACAAAGGACGGCAGGGGGCACTAAACGCCTCTCCCTTCTCGGCCCCCCCTCATCAACATCCCCAGAACAGGAACTGGGCTTCACCCCCCTTTGTGCCCAGCAAGTCTGTTCAGCGAGGAGGAAGAGGGCTGATCTCTGGCACATGGTTGACACACTCTTTCCTCCCACTGGCTTGGACCCACCGTCCACCTGCCCAGTTCTCCATAGCCTCCCTGAAGGACCGTGGCCAGATACCGCGGGAGGCCAAGGTGGGTGCTGCACTTTCCTGGGAAGGGCTTCAGCTCTGGTTCACGCATTATAAATTGCCTTCTCGGCCATTCTCCACACAGGATGATGGAGTGGTCGAGGGGGCGGAGGAAGGGCCTCTCTAGTGAGTCAGGGCTGGAGGGACCAGTGGCTGGTCTGGTTGGGGAGGAGATGCCCTGTGCCCTGCCCTCTGAGCCTGTGTCCTCGTGTCCACCGTGCCACCAAGCTGGTGTCTTTGGTACTCCAGACACCTCTTTGTTCTGACTTCGCCGACCGGTGTGGAATGCCAGGAGGCCATCAGGAGGGTCACTGGCATTTAGCTACATAAGTTAGCTTTAAAACCTTCCAGTTACAATTTCATAAATGTTTTAGAAAACACAGCACTTTTATGGAAATGACATTATAAATGTTCACACCTGCAACAAATACCCTGATTCAGTGGAAAACAGCATAGGAGAATACGGTTACAAAAATAGCTTGATGACTAACCATCTGACAATCCACCTCGTCCCCAGGCCCGAGGACCTAAAGGGCATCTTGCTGAATGTGAGAAGGTGTGCTGGTGCCAGGTGACTTAGCCAAAAATTAGGTCCTGGCTTAAGCTTCAGGGCTGTGTTTCTGACTCACCTTCCCTGGAGCTCAGGGTTTGTGAGGTTCAAATTACACCAAAAAAAGGAAAAAAATACCAATGATACAAGAGGTGCCTCAAAGTATGAAGACAACACTGTGGAGAAGAAAGAAAGCAAAAGAAGTGGGTTTTTTAAAAATTAAAATTTCAATAATCATGACCAGTTATTAGGTATTCAACTAATAAAAGGGAACAATAAAGTAGACAATAAAAATGACTTATAGCTGGTTTAAGAGTTAGGTTTTGGTCTTAGGTTTGAATATGGTATTTCTGCTACATTCGGAAATCTACAATTGTGCTCAGAGAAGGAATAACCGTCTACTCCG